GACATTGGTCAGATTCCACGGCCTGTCTGTAGCACTTTACATGTTTTCCTATGCTCTGTGCGAGATCATTTGGGTGAATTTGGGTTCAAGGATCGACCGGGGTGATTTGACCCAGAGATTGATTTTAGATTGTAGAATCTTTGGGTGCATTTGAGTTTGGAAATCGTTAAGGCATTGACTGCTTTTCTATGATTAATTTGTTCGATAGCACCGTTATCTCGGTTCCGCTTTTGGTTCTTGTTGATTTCCCGGCAGGAGAGGCATTGCTAAACTTCGCAAGCGTTTTTGACGGATACAATGGATTCTCGGTGTGCAGAGCTTCACAGGACCGATCAGTGAAGCGGCATTTCTGAGGTTCCGAAGCTAAGTCTTCAATCTGTGGGGAACATTGAACCTGAGACTCAGGCAAGAGCGCTGGTGGTGTAGATCGAGGATTAGCAGGTGAAGGCGAGTTGACGGAGGTACTTTCACGGGGGGTGTTTGACCCCACGAGGTAATCAGTGTGTTTCCGCCTGAAAGCGTAGTTTTGCTGTATTAGTTGGCGGTCGTTGTGCATTCTGATGTCTTGAACCGCGACGTTTAGCACATATAACCTGGGAAAACTGATTTCGGATGTTCATAGATTTTTGAAAGAGGTCAATGGATAAGCCAATGCAGGAAATAAGGAACAGAAGATCGCAGCCGAAACACCAAAGTGCATGAGTTTTATGTCCAACATCTTTCGAACACAAACAACAAATAGCTTGAGACGGCATCATAAGGTAGAACAAATCCAAGGTGGCGGACACAGATGGCAGCTGGGCCAAGCAATGAGATCTCCGAAATTAGCCAGAGAATATCCACCAAATTTGCACAGATTGAAAAATACACCAAAAGAAAAATGTTGGTGCAAAATTCACACAGAAAAACACGCATAATACAGTAATCTTGTAGCAAAGGTAGAATCCGGTACGCGGTGGTTATAAAATCCCTGGCAGTACAGGTGAAAAAAAACTTTAAGATGAAATCCGTATACTGCGATTTAAGGAGAGGAAAATCTGCCAGAAAAACTCAAGAATTCAATGGGAAAGCAAGCTGAGCCAATGGAGTACAATAGAAGTACCGAGTGGTCTCACGAACGTTTACATTCATACAACGTGCGCACCAACCTTCCCATTGGCTAGCCGAACTGATCTACCAATCAGGACAGCTGCCCTAGATGTTTAATAACGTGAAACTTTTATGGTAGACTTATAAAAATGTCCGTTGAATTCACACTACTTACATTCGTTTCGGTAGCCGGTTCTGCAAAACGCTTTTGCCTACAAGCTTTGCCTTCGGATTTTCGGCTAGCATTCGGAGCTAGCAGATAAATAAATAAATGTTCTATACCTGGCAGTGCGGGGCACGCATGCGAAAGCCTGATCATGTATGGTCGGAAATTATATAAAAGTATAGCATGTTACCCAGTAACATTTGGATTTGTGTGTCTATGTTAGTGGGCATGGTGAGTGAAGTGTGACTGAATTCGTGAGTTTGTTTGCTGTGTTCGCCCACTTATGAAGAGATCAATGGAAATCTTCGAATTGGATGAGGTTTGTGAAGTGGGAATCCTCCGGAAGGGGAAAAGACAGTGATTTTATTTAGTGGTGAGTCACATCCGCCACGTCGCAATATTGTTAAACGGACTATTGTGGCTTTTTATACGGAGAATGCTCGCCAGGTGAAAACCCACCACATCCTGGAACACTTCCGCCGAACTATTCGCTGGAACGGGATTAACAAGAACCACCCAGCTGGCACCAAGTGGAGGTTGTTCGGCTAACCAGTTCAACCGGAATCCCGCAGACAGAGGTATATCGTAACAAATGGCGACGGACAATGGTGACAATGCAATGAGTGTCTGCAGAACAATTTCAACAGCTGCTACGGCAACAGCAGACACAAATGAAGCTGGTCGAAACCTTGACGCTGAGGCTCGGTTTGTAGTCTTCAGAAACAGCTTTGCGGGACAAGCAGGCAAGTTCAGTTGGTCTCCTCTGAAGTCAATTATGATCCTGATTCCTGAAGCACTTTCGATGCGTGGTTCAGACGCTGGGAGAATATGTTCAGAACGGATTTCAGCCTTCAGTATGACTCCTGGAAAGTGCGATTGCTGCACTGTAAACTAGGCATAAATGAACATTCAAGGTTCGTTGATCACACACTGCCAAAACAGCCGAAAGATCTCAGCTTTGTCGAAGCGAAATTTTCGGTGAATCGTCATCACTATTCAGCATTCGATATCAGTGTCTGAAAATAGTCAAGCGGGACACAGACGACTATGGGGCGCTGTAAGACATGGTCAATCGTGAGTGTGAACGCTTCAAGTTGCGCTCCTTGACAAATGACCATCTCAACTGTCACAAATTTATCTGTGCCTTACAGTCCCCGCAGGATGCTGGAATCCGCACAAGACTACTCGCAAAGCTGGGCCAAGACACTGAAATCCCTCACGGCCGAGTGCAAACGATTGATGACTGAAACACGACACCGCCATGGTCGAGGATTCCTTTACATAACCGCGAAATGCCCATGCTGTGACCGGTTCCAAAGGAAACAGGACAGACAGTTATGCTCAGAAGTCACAAAACAGACCGCCTACTGCTTGCTGATCACGCGGTGAGTGACATTTTGCCCGATTCTGCCTATTCAAGGTGCACATTTGCCAAAAGTGCCATAAACGGGACCACAAGGAAGAACTATGTAAGCAGTCTCAACCAGTGTACACAAAACCGTCCGTTCCGAGAAGAGGGCCAAAAATACCGTTACAGACTCTGTCAGTCGTTGCCGCTTTCCGGAGTGAGGTCAAATCCCGCAGACGCTACATTGTCATACTTATCAACGGGATTCCTTCCAGGTTGCAGTTTGACACGGCCTTTAGTATAACTATCATTTCCAAAAGCGCATGGAACCACATCAAGAGGCCGGCGGTTGCAGGTTCTGATAAAGTGGCTCACAAAGCCTCTGGTGGAGTGCTGAATCTGGTTGGAGAAATCACCTGTACAATTGCATTTAACGGGGTGGAAAAGAGTGGAACATGCTACCCGATGAACCGACCGAACCTAAACCATCCTGGAATCGACTAGATCGAAAACCTAAATAATAATATAAATAATGTGTCAGATGTACGCCGTAACGGCGCTTCGCTGCCGCCCGACCAACATCAGTCGCGCGCGGGCTGAGTATGCCGCGAGAACGCCCACCCCGCGGATTCGAACCGGTGATCTTATGGTTGCAAAGCAAACGTGCAGACCACTCGGCCACCGGATCGAAAACCTAGGACTCTTTGATGTCCCCTTTGCAATCGTTATACACCTAAGCCTCAAACACCGAACGGAGTGTCTCCAGCAGAAGCGAGGAGCAAACAGCTCCGCAAACCATCCCATACACTTCGATCAGATCCTGAGTTCTCATACGACTGAAGGAACGGGAAAATACAACAGGAATTCAATAAGCGGTATGGAGCAAGGCAACGCTCATTAAATCCCAAAGATTTAGTGCTCGCACGTGACCATTGGAAAAGCCAGGTGAGATAAAACGCAAACATGGAGACGCCATTTACGATGTTCTCGTTGGATCGCAAACCTAGGTCCGCTATGCAAATAAGTTATGCCAAATGCTGTGTCGGCCAGAATCAAGGAAGCTAGCCAAGCTGCCTTTCGACTTCTTAGTGGATCATTTCAAATAACCGAAACCAGACAGGAAGGGTCACAGTCAATCAAACGATGCATCCGATAGTGCAGAATCAACACAAAAGGCATTTCAATCTAGGAGCTGGAGGGACAGACGCAGAACGCCGGCTTCAAGACTGCAAATTCCCAAAATTTCTGCGAGTAGCTGTTCCCCGAGTTGACTAGGATGTAGGGTCTAATTCGAGATGAAGATCGCGAAAAACTAGCATGGGTACCATTTAGGCTATCGTTCTTTGGGGCAACCAAATGGAAAGAATGGAACACATGCGGCACAATCCCCTGAGTGTTAGCCAATCTCTGTTGAATAGATCCGCACAAAGCGCCGCACGCACACACATGCGCTCAGCACCGTCAGAAGGCCAAGTGCGGCTGAAGAACTGGATTGACATGTCACCAGATCTCACCAGCACTTAATCAATGAGAAATCGCTCGAAGCAGAGGATCGGTTCACGCGTTCAGATCGTGATCCCACACATAGGCATGACTCAGGTAGAAATTTTAAGACCTTGCACGGATAGAGGGTATAATGTTAGATTTTCGGCCTATAGTAGAACGTGTAATTCTGCGAAGAGTACACTGTTGCCGCGGAGATTAGCTACTGTGTTTTGGAAACACTGAGAGGGCTTCAGTATACGTGAAATATCGTTCGTACTCAGGTGGACCAGTGAGTGAGTAATACGGACGCCCGTCAGTTGATTTTTTAAAGCATATCCCATTGCGATGCCATGCACCGTCTGCTCAGCTCAGACAGATTGCTTTTGTAGGAACACATCTATCACATATCTAAGGACCACCTCTATCTGGTATGGGTTGACCATCGCTGGTGCACTATATCCAGTGACGTTCCGAGCTAGCCAGTGGAGGGAGTGACAAAATGGCGCTATGAAATGGATTGGGAATTCTTGAGTGCGTTACAGAATGCCACTCTCCTGACCGGGAATCTTGGGATCAGCTAAATAAAAGTTGGGAATGCTGCAAGACTATTCACATTCAGAAAACGAATAACGGTCGCTCCCTTGCTTCTGATTCTTAACGGGCGGTGATGGCGGTTTGTGTTAACTAGGTTAGAATTCACATTAATCCTACTCACTTATTTTGTTTTACCTGCATCTCCGGTAAGTTAAACATAGTTCCTCTAGCCATTGCAGATTGATCCAACGCACATTGGTGCATGGAATATAGCTCGATTGAACTAGAAGTCTGCAAGAATGGAATCACAACATTTGATTGCAAACAAAACGATGAGGCACATGAAACATCAGTATGGACAAGAAGAGGAAGGCTCACCGGAGACAGAACCCAACAGCATGGTTCGACAAAGAACACGTGTGCGAAGCTTCATTTCATTGTCTCTTTCAGGGAGCTGGCGAGTTCGTTCAGCAGTATCAGCTGGTGGCCAAATGAAATCGCGCAAGTATGCCAAAAATTCGGCAAGGCGGTGTGGACTAGTTAATTCGTTCGCCTGAAAAAATAGAGCAGGAAAGAATAATCGGATATGATGGTGTAAGGGATGTCGTCATTTAACGAAAACCGTTTCCTTCGTTAGTCCAGGTAGTCGCGGTCACACAGGATCCTCAAGTCAAGAAAGTGCTTTATGCACCCAGAACGGGTGAATATTCAGCCACTAGTGAAAAAGAACACGCTTGTTAGTTCGTGTACTAGCTTACAACGAACCACGATTCGCCGATCTGATGCTGGAAGGTGGAACGCTCGGAGGCGAACCATTGAAGTGGCGACATGAAAAGAAGTAGGAAATCAACTGTGCGCAGTTATTTTGTTTCATTTTCCAAGTGAAAGTCCATGTGGTACACCGTAGCTTAGCTCGAGATCTAACAAAACGTAGCTCACAACCGGCACAAAGAATACGCTTCTAGACCTATTTTAACTTAGACTATTTAGATCCCTCTGGTCCAGTTCCTAATCTATGCTAGTATGGGAGACCTTCTTGCGTTGTGGAAGTATATCATCTATGCGCTAGTAAAAAGTACGGATGCACTGCAATTGTTGTGGATGGCAACACAGAGTAGTCAATGAGCAGGAGCCTCAGGGCTGATTGCACATACTAGAAGATTGAGCAGGACGACTGAGTAAGAGATGACCCGAGCACTGTACTAGTTCAATTGAAACGGAAGGCGCCCAAAATGCTGGAACGGGTAAGATGTTATAAACTATAATGGGTGTCTAGACTATTTTCATTTACGCCGGTTCGTAAACTGCGAGAAAAGGCACGAAATGCATTTCAACAGAGCATATTGCATGACCAGCCGGATTGAATTTGAGTACTTCTGCTTGATCCGGGTTTCTTCGACTAACAGGTGATCCGAGATCAAGTACGAACGTAAGAATGGGCATCGCCATACAACATACATCGGTGGAGTCCACCTTAATGAATGCAAGATGTGCGATTAAGAAGTCGGTTATACCCATGCGGTGAGAAGTAATGGAAAGGAGAAATATTCCGAACGAGGGTAGATGATCGGATCGAAAATAACTAACCTTGGCAATTATCATTTTGTTTACACGTAGACCGAAGAAAGCCTGAAATATTTTACGCAAGATCATGAAGTTGGTATCGCGAGAAAGATGACTTTTCTGTCGTAGGCCGAACATTTCGTCTACCAGGAGAAAAAGGGCGCCAATCGGCCCGTCATCAATCTGGAAAAAGCGGCAGAATGCACTATGCAACAAAAGCGAGAGGTAACGATGAAACAACTAACGACACGCTATTAACAGTCTTAGTAGGTATTATGGAAGCGAAATATAAGCTAGATTTATGTAAGTTGAAAAAGTAAGTCTTAAAAAGCACAGGGCTGGATGCAGGATACCGCCCGAATTAGAATGGTGAAAGTAGATTATCAACAAGACAGCATTTAGGGGTGTTGCGGATGCTGAAGGAGAAGACATATATTTTAATGTTACTCACTTGATCAGCAGATTCTCCGCTTTTGCTAGAAATAAAATCCGGCAAGCGGCTTGGTCCGCAGGTGAGGCTAGCTGATCGTCCGTGGCTGAATTGCGCCGACAAATGACTACCATGTGTGTTTGGCTGCATTGCACTAAATACACGGGAGAAACCGTCTGCCAATGTCTCGGGTACCGCCTTCATGGCATTACTGACTGATCGAAATGGATTGAAACCGGAGGCCTGGTGTGGGTAAAGAACCATAAAAGTGAGGTTATGAATTGGTGAGCCTTACATTTGTCTTGATCATATTCTATAGGCTTCTTGTATTGTATTGTTCTGTCATTCTGCTGAAAATCTACTGTCCAGTTTGCGTGCTTAGTTTCTTGCATATTCTATTTTTGAGGTTTGTTATCCCAGGCGCCTCATGCTAAAGTTGCCGTTGCATACATCATGCTTCTTCAACGCAGATAGGTTACACCGAGGTACGCTCGAACTCATTATACACGCTAGCTAGAAGTGGTTGCCAGCATCTGCCTCCGGATTTGCCTGTCACTGTGGCCTCCATAGGACAATCACAGGACGAATGCGCCTACAGAGGGATCATGGGTGGTATGCGATGCACCACACACAGCCCCATCTGAACACCCCATATCCGGTGTATACCCGAGGAAATAAGACGGGAAGGCATGCGGATTGGAGCCACGTTCCGTAGACGCAGTAGGTTCGCAATGCCCCCACCTTCCACAGCAGTAGCATTCCTGTCTATCTATGCGGGGAATCATGCGTACCACACGTACACAAGGAGATAACTGGGCTGCAGCACGTTCCACAATGGATGAATGGAACCACTTGCTGAGCCTAGCACGGTCACGAAGAGTGTGCACCTCGTCTTCACAATCAACGATCAACTGTCTCCTGGAGCCAATGTGATTGTGGTGGTGGTTTCTCGACAGGTGGGTACCTTGTCAGCATTTACACCAGGGGCATCCAACCCAGAATATCAAACAACAGACAACACCTAAATGCAAGAATCTCAAGACGCAGACACACGCACAATCCAACTACAGCGATCACGTAGCATACGTGCCACATCAGCCGCGTTATTGGCCTGGGTTAGCAAATTAGATGGAATCGGAAGCAGGGTAGTTATACCGAGCTTTGCGCTGATGATGCTTATCTATTCAGCTGACTCATCTCTTCGATGCTTCCCGCGTGGACACTCCGATGGCTTAAAAGACCAGCTTGTCTGAGGCACTCGCGACCGCATATGCTACATCATCATTCGTTCGACGGTGATGGACTATCCTCCATCGCACCTGTCGCTATCGTAGCCGGCGTTTCTTTTCCGCATACAACAGTGAATTCTCATGTACCCGGACAGCTGCTCTCGTGATATGCTCGCTCTATTAGAGACGATCCATTATCGTGGATTTCCAATACCGAAAATCAACATTACTTCTTGAGAAACTCAATCTAGTCATGTCCTGGTAATGTAACTTCGGGTTTCCCACGTTCCGTTTCCTTGCAATGAGTTGGCCATATATGAGTTGTTTCGGTAACCGGATAGAACCTATGTGGTGGACATACCCGAGTAAACGGAAGTGCCGCAGCAGTGAAGTGCAGTCCACTGCATACACGCCCCTGCGGCGCAGCACTGCTGGTGAAAGCGCTCCTAGTAATGGATGTCCTTCCGATAAAGCGTCTAGGTTACAATGCCGTACAGAAGAACGGAGAGCACCATAGACTTGTATACCATCCGCTGGTGATTGTTCCACGTTTGATTCTACAGCATTCAAAACGTAGCAGACGCATGCGCAGTTCGCTCGTCACCTGCAGATCAGTCAAAAGTACACCTCCAGGTAGCAAAAGCTGTAGGTGATCTCCAAAACGTAGTTACCAACTGGATTTGTAGCAGACACAACGACCCCACAGTTGGTGAAGGCTAAAAAAGACGAATGATTTTGCTTGTGTTCACGGTGAGAGAAAATTGGTCGCTGTCAAAGCGAAAGCCGTCGTCATGCGCTGCAACTCATCGCGATGTGTACAAACAACGCACAGTCGTCGGCAGACAGCAAAACAGAGATAGTTGTCTTACACTCTAGGGTTCTCGTCACAAAACGCAGATGTCCAGCAACTCACCATCAATACGGTGCCCCACACAGGACATCGTAATCACAAGCAGCATCAAAAGCGCAAAACATCATTGCATTTACGTAAATGTTAAACAGAGCATGGGCTGACACAGCCTTTTTCATGTCAGTAATCCGAGGTTTATAAACAGTGGTGCATCCTCGCGCGCGAAACCAATGTGCCGAAATTCTATTAGCTGCAAACTTATTCGGACAACCAAACTTACCCAATACCAGCCACTGTGAATCGCTGTTCACAAAGTCAAACGCCTAGGTGAAGTTAGCAAACAACGAGTACAATGGCTGATGTAGCTCTCCGTATTTCTATTGCCACCTACGAACCACCAACACCACATCTAGGGTACTGCGACCCGAACGGAATCCACATAGCTCTACCGCCATTTGCGATGCAACAACTTAATTGACGAGGCAGTTGAGCAGGATCCCTATGAGCACTTTACCAATACAGGACAGAAAGTTGATACCAAGAAAAGTTGTGGCACATTGCCTGCTGTCTTTCCCTCTGCACAGTAGCGGCAAAAGGGCATGCTTCAAATCAAAAGGCGGTTCTCCTTCAAACCACACGCGTTTCACCAAGTGGAGCAAATGGTGTCCGGAAGTGATCATCACCTTCATACTAGAAGTCTAAGGTTGCTTACTGTCTTGCGGAGGATGGAAAATGGGTGCGTCGGACAGTGATTGATGCACCGAAAAATCATCTAATCTGATCGCATCAATCTTGCGGTGCTTCGTATTGTGGGACCACCCAAAACACATGCAGATTTTCGCATGAACCGGCGGATGATCTAAGTCAATGAAGATAGATCAAAAAGCCACAGTGGTGCAGCGCATTTACAAGAAGGGCCAGCCGTGATTCAACACTTCGGGCGGTATAATGTCAGCTCAGGTGCATTTGCAGTTTCGCAGCCGAGTAAGTGCGCTGAGGATAGTGGTGGCTAGATCCTGACAGACGGTCTACCCACTGCTGCTACTGTTGTGTCATGCGCTCATATCCTGGGCGCCTCCTCGTGGCGACCGCTGGGTGGGAGTTGGGTTAGCCCTTCTCCTAGCTAACATCCAGGACACCAGTCTGCATAAGTCAGTGAACTGACCATGTGCTAGACCCGCTGCTTTTCGGGTGTACATTTAATCAAAGGCTTTGGCTGAGGACCCAAGTCGTTCTCTTGTCAGGTGTGGGCGCCCTGCCAGTATCATAGTCAATCCTCTTCGGAGGTCAGGAAGTAATCCATGGCCCTTCCCGTAAAACCTAGCCATGGGAGACAACAGGTCTACGGGTTATAAGCTCACAGCTCGATTGGCGTAGACCACAACCACCACGCATTGTCTCTGACGATGGAAGGGCACCTCCGGGTGTTCAATCGTTTGCTACTACCCGCCTCAAGCCAGGCAACACCTGGTCAAATTGGTGCAAACCCGCCAAAACCCACCTGCGTCTGGCCGTGACCGCAGGTGCGTATCGTACTATGGTCGCAAAACATGTATGAATCGTTCCAGTACCGCAAAAGCTGCGTGTGACAACCTTCAAGCAGATCCCAATCTGTCCCTGCAATCACATTTCCGAGGTGGATCTGCTCTCCACTGCCTTGTGGGTCAGGCTATTGAGCCAAAGGCTCCGGGCCGAGTCCCTCATACAAAGCACCAAATCCCCCACTGCCTTGTGCGTCACGCTATTGCGCCAAAGGCTCCGGGTGGAGTCCCTCAAGTAAACCTCCGAAGCACAACGACCATCTCGCGTGCGATTTCCCACTAATGCAATCGTATGCTTGCGCGCAAAGCACTCAGCATCGGGTGCTGGAACATGCGCACTCTACTGGACCGGAATTCAGTGAGCGCCCGGAGCGACGTACTGCACTGATCGCGATGGAACTGGCCCACTACAACATCGATATTGCGGTGCTCAGTGTGACTCGGCTCGCTGAGCAAGGTAAGTTGCATGAAGCACGTGCTGGCTACGTGTTCTACTGGGTAGGCAACGCCACCTCAGCATCACGTGAACATGGGGCCGGATTTGCAATATCTGATCGCCTTCATGGCCACCTGCTGGGTGAACCAACAAGTATCAGCGCGCGACTGGTGACTGCACGCCTACGATTCGGAAAAGTTAAGTTTCCTATTTTTATAAGCGTATACGGTCCGAGTATGTATTACGCTGATGACACGCGTGATCAATTCTACACAGTTGTCCTCCGTGATACGGTCTGTGCCGAGGAGCGACCGACTATTTCTTCTGGGTGATTTCAACGCGCGCGTTGGGCGTGATGCATCGGTGTGGACAGATGTTATCGGTTCGCATGGCATTGGTTCAGCGAATGTGAACGGTGACAGACTGCTCTCACTGTGTGCCACTCACGGCCTGACGATCACGAACACTCGGTTTGCACTGAGTGCGAGTGATATAGCAACTTGGACTCACCCACGGAGTGGTCACGCTTACCTGCTCTACTATGTCATCGTACGGCACCGTGAGATGCGAGATGTGCGTATGACACGTGTACTGCGTGGAGCTGAGTGTGGCACTGATCAAACTGGACATATATTTTCGTAAATCAATGTATTGCACTCCCGCTGTGAATCAGTGTAAATGTAACATTCTCTACCTCGGTATTGGGGGGAAAATATTGAGCTGGAGAAGGTAATGACTGTACAAGTGTGTGATGTGGAATGCATACCCACTGTGGGCTAACCGTGGCACAACATTCGCGACTAGGCGATTGGTTTGATGAGAACAATGCGACGATTGGCGCATTGGTGTCGGAGAAGAATGCAGCATTTGTGCGCGTGTGGAAGACCACAGTAACAAGGGAAAGAATAAAAAGTGTGCGCGAATTCGACAATGAGTGACACGGGAGCTCCGTCCCATTACAAATGCATGGTAAACAGAGAAGGCGAAGCAGATGGAATGCTATGCCGAACGCAGCCAACACAAGGAAATTCTTCGACTTCTTGAAGACGGTGTATGGACCGAGGTTGGAGCTACTGAGGACGCTGATCGATGGTAGCTCAGAAATCGACTGATCTAGTTTAACGGGCTGAAGCAGCATGATATGAAGGCGAATCTGGCGGACACGCCGACACTGGATCAGACGCAGA